CTCAAAAATAGGCAACAAAAATTTCTTCACACGAAGCCAATAGTAACAAACATTCGTAATAACAAAAATGAACACACGTTCGTCTTACTCTTCTCTTTAATTTAATTATTTATTTAATTAATTAAATTAATTATTTATTTAATTTAATTAAAAATTACAGTAACTTCTTCCTAATTCGCGCTCAGATTGCGCACAAAAATGGACAATTTTTATAATTGTTGACAATATCGGTAACTATAAAAACGAGTCGCAATATTCGAATAATCGTATCTTCTCTTCCAAATTGTCCATTTTTGAGCGCAATCTGAGCGCGAATTACGGAGAAATTACTGTAATCTCATATTCAACGACTCCACGAAACCGTCAATTCCACTTTCTCGGTTTTAAACGAATTCGTTCGGCAAACCCGACCGCTTCACCGGAAGCGAAGCAAAACCGAGAACGAATACAGTGGAACGCAACAAACACGTCACGATCCGAAAATTGCTCAAGAGACCCAGAAGAGACTCGGAACGCAAACAAAGCGCAGATACACAGACGGCGATTTTCCAATCGAACAGCTCGCGGTTGCGTGCGAGAAAATGCCTCGTAAAAGCTGTTTAGAAAGCGTAACAGCCACGTCGAATAATTAAAAAAAATTCGGAACGGAGAATAACGACGTGTGCGTCGAACGCGTTTTCGCGGGAATGATGGCGAACGAAAGGCCAGCGGGGACAGGCGGGTATAAAGGAGCAGCAAAGGCAGTGCGCGACGATACGAGCTGTATGTAATTCGATTCCAACAGCACCGTGGCCTTCAACATTCAGCAACCACCTGCTGTCCGCGCTATCCATCGGGATCTACGGTCCTGGAGTGTCGTCTCGAAGGTGATCAACCTGTGGCACATGTTGTCCAGGTACCTGCGGATGGGAACACAGCCACCCAGAAGATGTGCCTGCTTCTCGAGACGAAACAGTCGCCATCAGGCCCATTATCGAGGTAGGAAGACAAGGCTCCGGGCAAATAAATCAAATGTTCCACGGGGTAGACCGAACCCGGCAGTTTAGCGACACTCCTTGCTGAAAGATCATTTACCGATGCTAAATATTTCACGATTTTCTAAACGCTTTCCGGACCAATTTTCCACGGTGCTGGCCACTCGATCGATTCGAATTTTTAATCACATTAACCCCTTGCACTACGCTGAAACTCGGTAAAAGCCGTGCCAAAGCCGTGCGCCCGAATGGTCGAAAAAGGAGCCGAACGGCGGAGCCCGAGTGTCGGAGATTATTTATAATATTATATATGTTATATATATTATTTTTATTATATTATTATATTATTTATTTTTATTATTTTTATTATATTATTAAATTATTTATTTTTATTATTTTTATTATATTATTATATTATTTATTTTTATTATTTATATATATAAAATAACCTTGGCCCAAGATTAACCTTTTTAGTGCCGGAGGCCGATATATCGGCCCTCGATGCACTGGCGAAAAGTGCCAGAGCCGATATATCGGCCCGCACCTTGTAGCGTTATAAATAGATAAATACGTTATAAATAGTCTAATTTCATTACGAGAGAAAAATTAGCGTCACCGTTTCATTCTATATTTTGTCCTTAATACACTGCTTTTTGAATTATGTAAATATTGCTTTTCGTTCGGTTTTTATGAACCTTTTTCTAAATCCTAGTAAAATCGTAAAATTCGGCCGGTTATATTCGCATAAGCACCTTTTTTTCGCCCGGCACTAAAAGGGTTAAGACTCGTCTCAAACTCGAGATGTACATGTTGGCCTGAAATGTCGATAACGAGTCTGATTCGTGATATCCACGTTTGGCATGAAATTAAACAACGAGTCCGACTCGTGACATTCAAGTTTGGCCTAAAATTTTCATCACGAGCCAGACTCGTGAAAACAGTGCAAGGGGTTAACACGTTCCACGCCTGAATTTTTTATTCAGACCATTTGATATCTTTACTAAAGAATCATACGTTATATGTAATTATTAATCATTGCGTATATATACAGTAAATTGTCCCTAATTGACTCAGATTGTACACAAAAACGGACAATTTAGTAAGAGGCTCGTTTCTATAGTTACCGATTGTCAGCAATTATAAAAACGAGCCGTAAAGCTCGAATAATCGTATCTCCTCCTCCCAAATTGTTCATTTGTGTGCACAATCTGAGCGTCGATTGGGGAGAATTTACTGTACCTTGAAAACTCTGAAAAAATGATCTTGAAAAAAGAAAAACAACTATATCTTGCATCGTATTCGTCTCATAATACCAGTCAAGTCTCGAGTAAGAAATTCGCTACTAATGTCGCTATTGGTGGAGACATTTAGATGGAAACGCGTAGGTGGACCACCCTGTATTCGCCTAGGAAGAGAGGAAACGGAGAGTTCGCATATCTCACGAAACATTTCCATTCCGCAGAATCATATCCCGGCCGAAAGGCCCCGAAGACTGCCCCGAAGAATGTGGTAATGGAACGTGTAATAGCACCGCATCACCTGGGACGACCTACTGCCTAGAATCTCTGACGCGTCCAGGCGGAGCAACGGCACTGGCCAGCATGGTGCCCACGGACAGTTCGAACCTGGTCACGGCGCTGGAGACCACCAAAGTTGACAAAGACGGCAATCGTCCGTACTCGAGGATCCTATATGGTCCGGCCGAGGAGAGGATCGCGGAAGCCTCCAGCTGCGAGGCGAATTCGCGTGATCCGCCGGTGACCTTCATCGATTGCACGGCGAGCCGCAAGGGGACACTGGCTAGGGTCACCAAGTGTTTCAACGAGATCGCGAGTCGCGAGAAGAACTACTACGAGACCAACGTGGAGGATGGTGACCCGACGGCTGTGGGTTACCAACGTCCGTCGCAGAACGACGCGTGTCGGCGGGACGTTTTTGAAACGAGAGTGGACAAACACGGGCCAAGAACGCGTCTGATCAATCATCCAACGGATTGCGAACGTTATTGCGGCTACATGGAGTCTAAGGCGAGCTGCGACGGGCCGTCTGCTAGGATAATTCAGGCACCGGGTGAGTCTGTCTACGAGCAGAAATACCTGGCGACTGGCCCAGCTGCTAGAGACGATGTAAACGAACGCAGGAATGGGCTGGATCCCTCTGAAAACAAGAAGTCTATTCCCGCGAAAACCAGGGTAAGCTGTCTAAGACCGACCTGTCCTCCAAAAGCTTGTGCTTCGCTAGAGAATTCGCAATCAGAATCGAACTCGGTCGATCAGGTGCAATTGGACTATACCGGCTCAATTAGATGCGAACCGATCAAGCCCGTCACTCAGCCAGAAGCTGCCAAGGTACCGGTCGAGGAACAATGTAAAACGAAGGAACTGGTTGACTGCGATAGCTCGAAGCTGAAGGACCCGAAGGCGAGAAGCAAACCTGGATACGTGCCGGCTCTCAAGGAAACCTCGGACTGCGCCAGCAACCATGTTCCTCGGATAGAACCGCAGGAATTGTTGACGTGTTATAGGGATTACGTGCCTTCCACTCTGCTGGAGCGCTACGAAGCTTGCCGATCGAAACGGAACGGTCTTCAGGATCAGTGCTTCCTGCCTGTCCCACGGGCGGTGATCGAACTGAAGAAGAACGAAGCGATTTCGCGCAACTGCGATCACCGAGATCTACCGAACAATCAGAATGCGGACTGCCAAAGCGTGGGCACCGGTCACACCTTGGTGACACCGCCAGCCAGCATCGCTTCCGGGTTCTTCGAGAACATGACCGAATTAATGGAAAATGTTTGTTGAACGTGTCGAACGATTTCGTCGTGTTGTGACCTTGTAACGTTTCGTGAACGAGGAATAAAGAATCACGCGATCGAAATGAATGTGTGAAAGATTTTTGTTTGATCTCGATTAAAAATACATTGATTTAATTAGTCATCGGTAAATATAGTAGAGAGCTCCGATTATCCGGAATGCTGTAGAATTCAGTAAGAATTTATCCTAGCGTGTGTACAGTGTGATAGGTTTTTGATCTGATAATTCGAGATTAGTTCGTATGATTATGGTTCTACTGTACTAAATATGTTTTGCGACATAACAGTGCCTTTTTATTTAAATTTTACGTCGTCTTTACACTTTTATTATATTTCTTATATACATTAGTACTCATCCATTACATTGATACATAAATTAAATATATATATAATAAATACATAAATCAAATATATGTAATATAAATATATAAATATATAAAATAACGATATACCTGTACAAAAGATATAAACGCGTATATATATTATAATATATATAATAATATAATAATATAATAATATATATAATATATATAATAATATAATAATATATATAATATATATAATAATATAATAATATATATAATATATATAATAATATAATAATATATATAATATATATAATAATATAATAATATATATAATATATATAATAATATAATAATATATATAATATATATAATAATATAATAATATATATAATATATATAATAATATAATAATATATATAATATATATAATAATATAATAATATATATAATATATATAATAATATAATAATATATATAATATATATAATAATATAATAATATATATAATATATATAATAATATAATAATATATATAATATATATAATAATATAATAATATATATAATATATATAATAATATAATAATATATATAATATATATAATAATATAATAATATATATAATATATATAATAATATAATAATATATATAATATATATAATAATATAATAATATATATAATATATATAATAATATAATAATATATATAATATATATAATAATATAATAATATATATAATATATATAATAATATAATAATATATATAATATATATAATAATATAATAATATATATAATATATATAATAATATAATAATATATATAATATATATAATAATATAATAATATATATAATATATATAATAATATAATAATATATATAATATATATAATAATATAATAATATATATAATATATATAATAATATAATAATATATATAATATATATAATAATATAATAATATATATAATATATATAATAATATAATAATATATATAATATATATAATAATATAATAATATATATAATATATATAATAATATAATAATATATATAATATATATAATAATATAATAATATATATAATATATATAATAATATAATAATATATATAATATATATAATAATATAATAATATATATAATATATATAATAATATAATAATATATATAATATATATAATAATATAATAATATATATAATATATATAATAATATAATAATATATATAATATATATAATAATATAATAATATATATAATATATATAATAATATAATAATATATATAATATATATAATAATATAATAATATATATAATATATATAATAATATAATAATATATATAATATATATAATAATATAATAATATATATAATATATATAATAATATAATAATATATATAATATATATAATAATATAATAATATATATAATATATATAATAATATAATAATATATATAATATATATAATAATATAATAATATATATAATATATATAATAATATAATAATATATATAATATATATAATAATATAATAATATATATAATATATATAATAATATAATAATATATATAATATAATATTGTAATTATAATATATATAATATATTATAACGTATATAAATTATAATTAGGTCGCAGAACTTCATGCATTCGCAGCGTATAAAATAAAACAACTGATTCTCTAATCAAGCACCCCTTCAGTATATTTTGAATATCCTGGAACTGCTCGTGGAAAATAGAATTTGATTTCATCGCGATCACTTTGGAATTACCTAAAACAGTGATTCTTTCAGACAAAACCCGCGCCGATTCCCGAACCCAAAACAAAGTCGAAACCATCAAAGAAATCGGAACCAAAGGATAAGAAAGCCGAACCCACTCGCGCGAAAAGGATTCGTGTGAGGCGAGTGAAATCTAGAGAATTGTACTCGGGATCGGTTTATATAGACTGTGATTGCTATCATCGAAACGGATTGCAACACGATTGCCCGCGTACTTCTTGCGGTGGTGAGTGTGTTTTGTAGTAAATTCAATTAAATGTTTCGCTCGGAACAATGTCCGATCGTATTGTAGGAACGAGAAACATAAAACTGAAAGTTACGCAATATTTTAGATCGAGTCGAATGAATTTTCTCGATCTTCATTCACATTTTCACAAACAAGAGAAACTGTGCAGTTATGAAATGGTTTCAGTAGATGAAAACACAATATGTGTTAATCTGTAATTTTTAAATGATTTCAGGAAAATGAGAAATAAAATCTGTGTTAACCTGAAAATTTTAAATAATTGTAGTAAATGGAAGACGATATTTGTGTTACATTGAAAATCTTAAATGGTTCCAGTAAATCAAAAGCAAAATTTGTGTCAAGAGTTGAAATTTTTAAACGATTTCAGTAAATGAAAAATAAAATCTATGTTAAACTGGTAAACTGTTCTAGTAAATAAAAAAATGAGATCTGTGTTAAACTCAAATTTCTAAATTATTTTAGTAAACGAAGAATAAAATCTGTGTTAAACAGAAAATTTTTAATGATTGTAATAAATGAAAAACCACAAAATTATATTAAACCGAAAATTTTAAATGATGCAAATGAAAACAAAATCTCTGTTAAATTATACTGAACTTTCTGTAAATGTACAAAATCTGAATTCCAATTATTACATAATCATTAGTAAAAAGTATTTGTATTTACAAATGCACTAAAAATTTTGACGTCTATAAAACCGTAAAACGATGTTTATTATAATAATGTGATTATGGAGCTTATAACGATCGATTTTAAAGAACCCCAGTTTCGTGAATCGGTTCACAGAAAGTTCCATTACCATGGAAATCTACGATCTAGCAATTGCAAATAAAACTTCGTCCATATTGGCTGCAGGTCGTCCACCGTGCCTAGTGAAGCCTTGGCCCGAATGCGATCTGGGAGTGTATTTCATGGACAAATGGGAAAAGTACTACGACCATTTAGACACGATACCACCCACCTCGTTTTGCGGGTCGAAGGAAGCTTGGCAAGCGATTCTCGAGGAGGAGAAACGAAAACGAGCGGGGGATAAATGTCGTGAGGAACTGTTACCGCAGAATAATGAGACTGGGGATGGCAAACAGCCCGCAAAAATTGTTCATTCCAAGAAACTAGAGGACACCGTGTGCGAGTGTTCAGAGAGACCAGATGGAATCGCGGAAGAATACGTGATGATACCCATAAAAGTGAATTCCAAGGAGTCGCAAAGTGTTAAGAATGATAAATCGTCCGGTTTTTGTGACAGTAAGTGTAGCGCGAGTGTGAGAACGGAAAGCTGAACATTATTATAGTAATTTTTCTTGTAAAATTACTTCTATTTGCTAGAGGATATGAAATTGAATTAGACATGTTTCCGTGAATGTTTCTACATCATTATGTCACCCGAAGTGACTAATAAAATTGCAATACACAGCAGTGCAAGAATAACAGATCTGTGAATTAAAAAGAATTATATATAAATGAAGTTTGTACTTTCCGTTTCTATTAAAAAGCTAGTCGAAAGTCCAGCTGCGTTGAAAGTTGTAAATCAATTGTGCAGCGATCTCATTTCAGAATAATTTATTTAATACAGACACGTTGTTAGAATAAAGGTGATAGATGTTTAATTATGAGGACAACGACGAAAGACTTCAGTAACCATAAATAAGTAAATTTTCTATGTCTTCAAATCCTTAATTATTATTTATATATTCCTTATTATTTTCAGCGAATCGGTTCGTCCGTAAATAGACTGCAGAATTGATATGTAAAATCAAAATTGTCTGTATTAATTGCAAAATACAGAAGCAACGTATGAATTCATTTCTTATCTTAATAATTTTAATTAGTTGAAAGCAATATGTATACAGTATTTTTAAATAGTTTAAAGGTTTTCAATGCTTTGTATTTGATCTGTTTATTTTTATTATAAATGCATACAATTCGCAGTCTATGCATAAAAGACAGTTCGCAATGATACATACGAATTCACGATTACCCAACGAACGAAAGAAACATAAGCCCGTGTCGCGATGATTAGGTGAAAAGAAATAACTGGATATTTATGAGCGAGCAAACACCGTTCTAATAGGATTTCGAGCAATTCGTATGCGACGTAGGGCGAATCATTCGCGGCTATTTGCGTTTTGTGATTCTTTCCACGTTGGAAACTCACCACTAAAAGAAACAAATGAAACGTGCGTGTGTACCGGAAGTCGTGGTACATAACCGCGACTACGCTAAGAATACTGTCTTATTTCCGGCCTCGGAAAAATGGGAGCCCAAAATATCTCGTATATCTGCTTCGGGGGCGAAGTCGAAATTAAATTTGGGTTACGCCCGCAATATTCCCAATGTTTCTCCCTGGTCTAAACGAAAATTCTTATCAGCTAGATACTTTTTCATGAACATGAGAATTTTCATTCTTGTTTATTGTTTTATGAAACAACATGCGTAACATTGATTAAGCCACGTAAAATTGATTAAGCAGAGCAGACTTCACTAAAGACAACACTAATTTCTACTCTAATGGAATTACTTGTTGAATTTTTATTTTTGACGAATTTTGTGTTCATTTATCATACTTTGGTGAAACATAGTTTTAACTTTACAGAAATTTAAAGACAACTTTACATAAAGGACTGTAATCCATTCAATGTTTAGCCTGTGTACGTGACACGGTCGAGAACTGCATTCGTTAATTTGCGTTATTTATGACAAATTTCAGCTACTATGACATTTATGTG